TTTATAACAACAGTAACGCAGCTCATATAGCTGTTTATTTCCACATCGAAAATAAGTATGAAAATCGTCATGAACGAATCGCGTACTCTTGGCTTAATGCGGCTGCAGCAGGACAATTGCAGCTGAGGGCAAGGCAATTTGCCACCGCTGATGTCACTCCCAGTCGCTATACAGGGGCCGATCCCCTAACAATGATGTCGAACCAACCAGGACTATCTGTTACAAACTAAGTATGTTCTTCTCTTCGACAAGCAAACTGTTCATTTAAATCTAGCACAGTGAAGGTTAACGCCAGTACGAGTGCTGAGCAGTCGCTACGATTGCCACTTATTATTAGTACTGGTTTACGATCTCTATGGGTACTATAGCCGAATTAACCTCCGTCCTCTTTAACCATCATTTCTGTTTATGTAGATAAGTAGACATATTGGCAGTCAGAAAACGAGACCTCGATTTTGCTGAAGGTCTTCTTTGCTAACCGTTAGCGCCGCTTGGCCGTCTGTTGCTAATTCGTTGCCGTCATCCCTTCGACTTCATCTTCACCGCGCTCTGTGCTGTAGGAACCATTTCGAATAGGGTCTTCAATGTTTCTTCGCTTCGTCTTAGTTCGCATGAGGGGCGCTGAAGAACAGATGGCTGAGAAACGATGGGAACCTATGGGAACCCCCATCAGCAGCAGGAAACCCCCTGCCGGTCTAGTAAGCATGTAGAACTAGGATGTATTCAAGAGGAAAGAGCGAGGCGCAACCTTTGGCAGCCTATGACTGACTTGTCGATAACCAGACAGATCGTCGCGGAACGTCTTGCAGTCCGGCGGCCAAGGGGAGCATCAATATATGAGACGTAGTCAGCTGCTGTTCGGAGCGGCGGAAAGAGATACGGACGGAGAAGACGTGCACGCTGGCGTAGACCGCTCAACTGTATATGTGTGAATCTATATAAAACGTGATTTTGTTCTATCACCGCAGGTTGCCATGTGACGTCGAAAAATCGCGTACGATATAGCAGAATTCGTTAGAGTAGAAGACCATTTAAATACTCCACGACGACAGGCGATTTCTGTCAGATGTGAATTTTAAATGTCATCTAGCCTCATAAAGCTTGGGAAGAACTGCTTCATTGAACACTCCATCACTGGGTGCATCATTAACTCCCTGAGAAAAAAAAAACAGCCAGCGTTCAGGTATCTACAGATATTTAACTATCTGCTCTGTGCCGCATCTATAGAGTTATGCACTTTGCTCGTTTTCTGACCTAATTATTGTACAAAATGCGTGTCGAGCTTCGACTGATTCGACAAGTCGTTTCTTGACTTCAAACCGGCTGGATAACAGATTTATAATACTGCATAAACCTACCTCAATACCACTCACTTAAATCACTAATCACTATGAATTATAGTTTTTTTTTTTTGTATTTTCACTTCCGTAAATACGTTCAGTATGGGATCTACGCCAGCCTGACATGGGTTCACATACACTCTACATATACGGGTACGTTCCTAACTACAGGCGACAGGTTCGGCTACTTCTAATATCCTTCCAGCTATTACTTTCTACAAGTACCTCACATTGATCCAGGTAGTAGCGTTTTACTACGCGACAACGTTTCGTCTGCAGAAACACTACAGAAAGAAACAAGGCTATCTAGGCTACGGATTTCGTTGCCATTTTCCTTGGTATCTGACAATTGAAACAAGAGTATGATTCTCGCTAGCCTTAGCGGCTAAGTATCAGTAACTTCTAACATAGTATTGTAAGAACGGTACAATATTTGGCACGCCATGTACAACACAGCCCTACTTCTCTGCCGTTCATGTTGATCGACGCCATTTCTGATTCTGACTCAGCTCGCAGAAGCTCTATCCCACGTTGTTCTGGGGTGCACTTTTTAGCGATGCTTGAGAGTGATGCTCTATGCTCTTTGGGAATATTTTCCTTTACTTAGAAGTTTCGTTACTTGGAGACCAGGCCGACGATAGAGGTCGAATTCTCAGTGATATGCTAACCACCAGCGTAGGTCCTATGACATGTCGCATTCTCAGAATCGGAATGAGTACCGTCTACATAAAATCTTACACGGGAGGCTCATATGAAAATGGCGAATTATAAACGCATAGCGGCTCAACTCTCGAATGTGTAGGCTCCCTTGCCCTGCATTTGGGGATCTCCATTTTGCATCGTCTAATTGACTTCAATTACTTCCTACTTGATAATGTAGGAATCCTAATCGATAAGTTCTGTTGTTTCTACGTTATACAGTAGTTATTGCTCGCCTGTAGTTAATAATGAACTTGAAGTGATGACGACAAATAAGACAAACTGTGCAGCTAGCGTATTGAGTTCTTGTGTAACAAAAATTGACAAGTATGGCACTGTGGCAACAGGCAGCACTCCTTTGGATATTTTCCGTTTGCTCTCAGAACAATATTTCAACCACGTTGATATTATACAAGATATTACATTTTATAGTAAATTAACAGCGAGGCTTTCACCCGAACAGCGTTGTACACAAAGTGGGCGCTTTCTAAGAAGTTCCTCAAAGAGCACTAATACAAACTTAGCTATTTATCCTAGATATAGTGGCCAGTTAAGGAATTATCAGATGCGTAAGTTCTCAACTCTGATGCTAGCTCGAAGGGTCCATATGGCAAAGTATCGCGCGAATCTAGCCCACCGGCATATGGCATTTCCTGAGAACGGTTAGACCTAGGCCGATTAAAGCGGATCTGATCGTTTACTTGTTATGAGGACGACCTCGTGCGATTGCCGCAGATGCAAGGCTGCAGTTACAAACATCGTGTTATCAATAGACTCAGCAGTATGGTTACAGCAGAGCAAAACGGTAGGCTCACTATCACATCAAACCCGACGATGGCCGATACGTTGCTGCGCGACACCGTGCGCGGAACCCAGTAACAACGCCTGTGTGCGTACGATATGTATTACGAATTCGAAATTCATTCAGGATATCCGTTAGAATCGTCCAGTCATAGCCATGATTCTGATGTCGCTTTCATCGATCGTTTGCAGCCTTAGCAGGCGTCGCCACACGCATTATCGTACACAACAGCCGAAGTCACACCGAGGAAGGCAAAGGCGGGCGAAGCAATAGCCAAAGTACAGCCGAGGCACCATGGTACCTGTCAGCATCAGAGGTAACATGGTGAAAGGATGATGGCGCCCTTTGACGTGTTCCGCTCGAAGACCGAAGGCAAATACGACAAAATTTTGACAGCTCAGCTTACCCAATATTTTAGGTACTATATTTAAGCTCACCACGACCTGTATGTCAAACGAGAAAAAACCCAGCCCTTATTGAGCATTTAGCGGCTGATTCTGGTCGAATACTTAATGATGCCCTTTTTCGTATAATTATCGACATCGTACAGCAAAAACATTAAACCCGGCAGAAGCTGAAGTAACGTTGAACTTGATCCTTAAGCAGCGACTGAATGCTCTGCCTGCGCTTCGCTGGATCAGCGTTACCCGTGGGTTCGCGTCAAATCTCAATTCGTCCGCAGATCCGGTCGGGAAAGCTGGATCTCGGATGTCAACGGATGAGCTATACTCAACTAGCGATATGCGAATGCTGTATCGGGTTTACCGCTCGCGCACTCTATATCTTCGTTTCTTCAGCTGACGATGTACATACACCTTCGCCATTTCCTACGAATCGCTGATTACAAGTGAATGAACCCTTGTCGGATAGAGGGAGGGGCTGTTTTGAATTGAATAAATCTGTTCTGCGACTATCCCTTTTTCCGTTCGCCGATTTTGCCTTCATTCATCAGTTTTAGGGGCTCGTAGATTGGGAGGACACAGTCACTATTTGGTAGCATGGTCCGCTGATCAGAATTGAACAAGCTCGCCGGACGTCTCCGTCACAGGAAACCACCCCCTCCTGAAAGGAGGCATTGTATCGTGGTCAGTCTTTTCGGCATCCAGTCATATGCGAACAAATGACCGGACCTCGATAGACTGCTTGTGTGTATCCCGTATAATAAATTTGAACTTAGCTACTATTGTTATTAATACTACCATCGAGCAAACCGTACTCCGTGTGTATCGTAGCCTTCGCTTACACAGACTGTCGACGTTTTATCGACGGCAATTCAAGGGATCTTATGGAGCACCTGTTGTTCTTCATAGTTTTGATTTAGGTTCAAGCCTCATTCCCTCATCTGCTCTTGACTCCCACCCCCATTCCTGACCAGGACCGTTGTTACTAATAAAGTAACAAGCGGCAGTCTCGACAATTGTACGTGTAGTAGTTCTGGCCTCTTGTCATCTGCGGGGGCAGATTGTTCTGCGGAAGCCAAAAGGTTTTCTTAAATCGTACGAGCTCTGCGGACTACTGCTTCCGACCGCTCGCCAACGCTTGTCGTCGACGAAGCTTTTTTCTCTCAGCTGACCTGCGACAAAAACAGGCAAAACGACACAGAGACAGGACGGCACGATCATAGCCAGTGCCACACTATAATCATCAATCGTCACATGTGGTCTTGCTAAGCCAGCTCGCTTCCGTCTCGAGTGAATCAATACATAATTACCGATAGTTCATGCATCCGCTCTGTTTTGGCTTGGACAAAATCGTGTGACACCGCAATTACTGTAATCCGACGACCCGCAGCATCCGCACATACGATCTGATGGGAAGCGAAGCTTCTTCATCATGAAATTGGTGCGAAGCATACCTGCCATATTTGATGAAAAGAACGACGAAGGTTCATTCGGCAGATGCGTATGCAGCGTGCAAGCGTGCAGACAGCTCTGTTGTCACCAGATAGGAAGACTGCAACGATTATCTAGCTCGTATGTGGCTTCATAATCAAAGTGAGCGCTATTACAAACACTGGTCAGTTCGTTCCTGCTGACGACGTACCCAAAATGGTGGCCAAATTTTCGTTCTAGACGAATCGCTATTGTTGAAATATAGAGCACTCAATATTGGTTCGACCAAGACATAGTTCGATACTTAGATGAAATGTTTATTCTTACGTTTGCAATGATGAGTTATCTCCACACAACCGCAATTTCTTTGCACAGAGCGTTTTTCAGTAAACGTGAGATCCTTTTTCACGAGAAGCTGTAGCCCCGTTAACGTACCTGAAACGTAAAATACAAGGACTCAATATAACATGCGAGGAAGCGGTTCACTGATGAGGTCTAATGTATATCAACTGTGTTCGATGAAACTTGAGCACACCTACTTCACATTCGATGCGCATACGTTCCGAGTTGAGCTGGTGCAATCACCGTGAGGTCATGGACTCCAAACCGCATGAAGTAATCTGAATACATCAACACATGTTGAATTTACGCATTTAACGCGCACGTCGAATGAAATGAGAGTGGTGCATGTTGGTACCGGAAATCGGTGTGGGCCATGGCGTAGACAACGCGCGCGCAACATGTTGACTTCGGTATTATTATTATTATTCACGTTATTGTTTCAGAGGGAGAGAGAGATTTTAGGCGAAGGCGATATTGGAAATACGTCAACTGCAAAAGCGCTGTTCGATGTTTTGGGGCGCGACGTATTTTGCGGGCAAATTTTGGCATAATGATGCTCATTGAAAATCAGTGCGTGAACCAACGTTTGTCGCCGCAACGCCAAACATGGAAACAAGAGTCAGTCAGGCAACACGTACGACTGTTTTCGATCTGATGTTCGCTTACGGTTCGAGGATTTTCCTACGACTTTTCAATCAATGCTTAACACACGAAGTGTGTCATATAAATCGTGCAAGCTGAACACAATTATAAATGAATGTGAAATTATAAATGAAAATGAAGGTGGACGCAATTTATATATCATCTCTCTAAAGCATGCACGTACCTCTGAATGTCTGTGTATCATTTTCGCCTAGCGTTCCTGTGAGGACGTTCGACGTTAGCCTATCACGATTAGAGGTTATGGTCTATTGAGACTATACTTTATTGAAATAGCGAACTCTATAGCAGTTTTTCTACTAGTCCACCATGTCTCTCCGACTCGTCCGCAATGCTTAGTGCGTGCCAGCTGCTGCGCGCTAAAAGCAATTAAAGTACTTATCAATACGAGCACTTGATAGTTATCGGCAATCAGTCCTCTTGACTGTGTTGAATACATATGGCTGGCACCGTTCATAGTTGCTGAACCGTATTGGCACTACAACGAGGCGGAATAGAAATCAAGCTGGTGTTGGCAGAGAAGCCACAAACGATTAGCCGGATCTACCGAATCAGCGGACCCTCTGAGAAAAATGAACCTCTGCGATGCTTGCTTGCTTCCCACCCCCGCAGCGTGAAGGCGCCCAATGAAACGATATTTTTTTGCCGCGCGTACGCCTGACACTCGATCTGTCGGATGCTGTTTGTAGATTCGTTATATGAGTCAATTGTTCGTAAAACATCGTCGTAAGTTGGGGGTAACAGCGGCGCTTTGATGCGATATTTGTCTGCCTGAACGCATTTCATGTTTTTCTAACAGCTTTACTCACGAAGACGCCCACTACTCTACGCTTTGCTCATCTCTCGCCTTAGCCGAACGGCGGAGTAGTGATGATGATGATAATGACGACGAGACGCCGATGAGACGGTACGTAGATGAGTACTGTAGAATTCTTCCTTGGACGCACATGGACGTATGGACGTTGTATTGTAACGTAATTTTACCAATTACTTCTGCGACGCGACGTAGTGCTATGGTTGTTGGCTTTCACGCCGCTAATAAAGCAAGCAGTATTAATTATCGTACTTTAGACGTAACTTCCCGTCACTAAGATAGCCGTTTTGCTGGAAAAGGAGGTAAATTGTACCGCACACGTATATACGTATGCCGCACATTACTTTTCGTGTATCTACACGAATTAAACCCTTAGTGGACGTCTTGGTAGCGGGCACTGCTGGTAATCTTCGTCTGTTCAAGCAAAGACCAAAACTACAAGCTACACATGGGGAATGCCGGTGCCCCGTCGTTGTAGCCCGGTGAGCCTCGCTGTCGTCTATCAAAAGACCGTATTGAGCGATGCATAACAGGCACAAAACCATTGCCTCATTCATCCGTTATTGCTTGGCCATCTGACGATCGCTTCTGTTAGATGGTCATCTCCTTCGGCGTCCTGACCAAGGCAAAAGGCGCAATAACGTCCGAAATAGAAGCGGTCTGCAGGCTTCCTTGCGTCGGATACGTTCATACACACGAATGCGCTGGCCGCCTAGCAAGCACATAAATCGGCCCATCATCAATATCAACGGGGGGAAAAGAAACACAGTATATCAACAACAATAATATGGTATGTAGACCTTGGCTTTGACCACAAGCTACCATAAGACGAATTAACTCAACATAGTAGATCCCATAATTCAGGAAGCGATAAACGGCACCACACACAAATGACACAACAGAGTATTCCATGATATTTTTGCGTGTCGATAAAAAACTATATAATTATTTGTTATTATAACAAAACGCTTAAAACAAAATAAACAAAAAAATCTTTTCACGTGGCGGGGCGATATACCTTGTGATAATAATATGTTATTATTATTGCTCTTGTTATTATTGTCCTAATTGTGTGTTTTTTTTATTTCGCCCGCTTTCTCGCTTTCGTCCAAATAATGCTTATTTATAACGACTGTAGTCCACTTTGGCTATCGGAACGATAGACACGACAACGTCTACGTGCAGCAGCTGGGCAAATCTAGGCTCAAAATACCTGCTGACCAGAGCACGCACCAGAATTTTCAGGGCAGACTGTCTACGTTACGACTTCCGATCCAATCCAGCGGGGGTAGTGCCCGCTATTCCCGACGGATACCTCTCGGGTTTGAGTGGAACTTCAAACATTTCGTTGTAACTATCTTTTTGTGAGCAATGCGCTCACGTTTATCTAGTGTACGCATATGATGACCTCGATAATCTGTATATATAAAGCTTTTTGTATAGCAAGTAACATAGAAGGGCACGCTTTTTATCTAATCTAAGCCGTAATATATGTGTTCTCTTCATTTGATCGCACCTATGTGTCGCTGGTAGGGCTTGAATGGTCAAGCCCTGGCTTTCTCAGTCAATGACTGAAAGCCACCGCACCGACAATAATGATTAATTTTATTAGTTCTGTTGCTTTACTATTTTTACGTTGTCTTTAATGTTTTGTGCGTGACGTCTCTGTGTGCTAAAGGACTACGTTGCTGCGTTTGTGGGTGCTACAGTCATAATCGTCGCTCAAGGAACTCACAAGCAAATAGCAACGTTACGCATCACCGCGCAGTGCTGCTCCCAGAGAGACCACCTTTGTTCTGGGATAGTTGAATTACACCATCAGCATCAGCGATAGCAGAAGCACCCGTTGCCATCGCTCGCTCGTTGATTACTGGTCGCCGCTAGAGCCTTTTCAGCGCCAAAGAGCGCACAGACACTCAGGCTTGTACTGACAAACATTGTTCCCAACCCAGATCAGCCAGAGCTGTTCTGTTTCCTTGTGGTTACTGACGTACGGCGCCGAGTCTGTCGAGAAGGCTGGTAGCAGCGGCAGCTAATACAGCCGTAACAGCAACATCAATACGTGTGTGTGTGTCTGTGTCTGACGAAAGCTACAAGAAGGCTGCACTCTCTTCGGAGCACATCCGTTCTCCTCTCCCAGCGCCCCTCCGCGGATCGACACAGAGCAAAGTGCTCACAGCCGACGGGTCACCCACCGAGCAGCAAGCGTGAAAACGAACACTCGAAAAGAGGCAGCCTTGAGAGAAGGTCCAGTGGGAAATCGTCGCAGTCTACCCTACAACAGATGATTCAGCTCTCCTCGGAGTAACGAGGTACACTTCGGTTCATGCCGTTGCTGCTACAACGATCTTGTTCAGAGACTCTCTGTGAAAGAGGGACACGAGCTCGGGAGAGCGAAGCTCGGCCGGTGCGTTCTTGCTTTAGCAGCAACAGTAGCGGTAGCTCGACTCTGCGGCACTGCAGAGGCCGGCTGGTTGGTTCTCAATTGGATCTGATTAATTGGGATGCTTGAACGCGTATTGAGAAGCAGCAGCGACTATGACATTGCGGACGACAGTGCTCTGTTGCAGTACTCTTTGATGGATACAGAGTAATATTCGCGTGAGTCGTTCAGTTTACGTGACTTTCGTGCAGGACACGGCGCGCGGACGCCGCCTATAGTGAAATAGACCAATTCTGTGTGTTCGTGCGCGTGTGTATATGAGTTTAGCGCGACCTGCCAACGTCGTTGATCTACAGTGCGGTGCAGTGCAGTCCCGCGTGTCAGGCGTTGTCGCTGGCGTCGTCAATTGGTGTGGTGCTGATGGTGGTTCATGCCCGCACTTCTGCCAGTGCTCAGTTACTCCGTCGTGGACTGCAAATTGTAGATCATGGATGACATTCTAGTTCTTCACTCATCCGTAGATACCTTCGCATCCGCTGCCTTGCAAATAAGCTGCTACGGATGCAGCCCTCTTCGCTGGTGATTTTCATCGCCTATTGACCTCTGTCCTTCTCATTTCGTAATTTTCCTTCTCCTACATTATACTAGTTTACTGCGCGTGTCTATCCAGCAGCCTAATGACGTGGTCACAGTTAAAGCAGCTAGCTATATCGTCCTGTCGGCGACGGCCATCCGACCTCAGCGGACAAAGTATGCAGTTTTCGATTGACGTGTCGATCCTGTATGCTCAGGATGGTGCGGAATGGGCAGACTATCTGCAGGAATCGGTGCAGACATTCCTGTCACCACGTATTGTCAATATAAACTGTGTCAAACTGGGCAGCGGTACCACCCTGCTGTCGCCCATCAGCCGGGCAATTCGTTCCTCCAAAGTGTTGCTGATCATCCTTAGCCAGGAGCTGCTCAACTTTGTACGCTCCGTGAACTTTGTTGAGGTGGGCAAGCTGATGGACGGTGGCAGGACGCTTGCCATGCTGTGTGGCATCCGCACGGACCAGTTAAGCGACGCATATCTTGCACAGCTGCCAGCGTCAAGCACCTGGCGACAGATGGAGGCGCGGAGCCAAGACAAACAATTCGCGTTCGAGCTCATCTCAGCCCTGTGCGAACTGCTTAGGAAAGTTGACGATAGCCAGCAAACGAGCAAACCGAAATTTAAGCTCACGCCCCGTAAAGTAATTGATGCCAACACCAAAGTATTTCTATTGTTAGAACAGGCTATGTCTGGCACGCAGAAAGTTGTCGTTACACTTGATTCGAAGGAGGTGACCATTAAAATGCGCAACCCGTTCACAGTACAGTTTGTCATGCCACACCAATATTTGACAAGTTCAAAGCTAGTGCACGTTCAGCTTATCATCGACGGAGAGTGCCAAGGGGTTCGACCCATGAAGTGCGAATCTCGGCTTGGAGAATTGAACGGCTTGCTCCAAGCGTCGATATCGCCGTTCGAAAATCTCCGTCTAACTCTTGGTCTACCGACTGTGCAGGAAGTAGATGCTGCGTTGGCCAAATCATTTATCGAGAACATGCCGAAGGAAGGTTTTCAGTTCTTAAAACCCGGCCAGATGGTTGAAGAGCGACGCAAGAGTGAATCAAGTTTGCCAACACTGCTCCATTTCGCCGCCCAGTATGGTCTCAAGGAGCTCGCATCGGTGCTATTGAAGTGCCCGGGTGCGTTGTCCTGCTGCCAGTTGCTAAATATCAACGGTCAAAGTCCGGCAACGGTGGCAACTCAAGCGGGTCACCCCGAAGTAGCATCCCTTATTGACGAGTGGATGTCATCTCAAAGTGCTCTCAATCGCTTGTCGACAGTCTCCCGCGCTGCTTCGTTATACCACAAGACTCCAGTGTCATCTGCTGAGTGCTCGCAGCGAAATTCGGCTGGTTCATCAGGTGTTCCTGGCTACGACAACTCGGAAGCGTTATCGCGAGCGCTTACCCACTGTGAGAACTTTGACGCTGCTGATGGCATTGCGTCAAGCTCTGAAGCGAGTACTAGCCAAGAACAACTTCCGCGAGCCGGAAGCGCCTCTGATAGCGGTGCGCACTCGGATGCTTCCGATAATGAGAGTAACAACCGTTTAAGTCTGCCATTGACAAACCCGTTTCCCGACTATGATATGTTGCCAAAACCGTCAAGGCCCGACGCACTCAATCTACAAAAATCGATGACTCTAACAAGGGACGCGCGTTCGGCTACAGGCGGGTCGGACCAAGATGATCATGTCTATTACATGTACAATGGGACTAAGACAACAAGGAAGTCTGGGTGTCAGACCCTTACTCGGGAATATGACCTTCGTAGTTCAGTAACACCGCGTACGTGTACTTCGATGAGTACGTTACCTTCGAGTGGTGCGCAACGTTCGAGCTCCGGTATGTATTACGACATGTTACCAACGAAGCCACTTTCTGTTCGCCACTATCAAATGGACAGCAAAACCACCCAGTCTCCACCGCGCCTTAGCTCATTTAGGTCGCCAGTGTCTCCACTTTCTCCATCGTCGAAGACATCTTTAGCTGAGGTTCTGGCCGAGTATGACTTTCCCATATCACCAACATCATCGTCAATGTCATCCCCACAGAAAGTATCGGGTGGTCTTCAACTGCCAACTGTAACTCGCGCTTCATCTACCAAAATCCCATCGAGAAGCTCCAAGGGAGATTATTACGATTTTCCAAGGTTCAACTACGGAGGGATAACCAACCCAGATGCGCTACAAATCCCGGAAGTCCCCGCGCCGCCGCCTCCTGCCGAGTAGACATATCTTCGACTTTTTCTTCTGCCGCCTCCGTCGTCTACAGCCGCTCCGCACGAAGCTCCAGCTGGCACCTATATGAAGTTATATCTAGAAGTTTCGACGACAGAAAACAATCGATAAAAAACTAACATCCTGCTCATTCTAGCGGATTGCTGGACCGTTTGTTGCATCATGGGAATCGTACATACTACGATCTCATAGGGTGCTGTGTATGTCCTGTTTTCGACTCTGTACATATACGATTGTAGCATACAAGTGACAGAAAAGAAGTGGATCAGACAAGTCTCGCCAAGCACAAATCGCGTAAGCTGCGACAAGAACGAAGATAGATCTTCATTTTATTAATGTTATTAACAGTAGACCATTGCAGCAGAACATTTAACAATTAGAGATTTATTTATCGAACCTACCCTCGAGTCATCGTAGAATCCAAAGAAAGTATTTTGCAGGCCGATAGAATCATTACACGTGTCGAGTATTACAATAATAAAGCGATAGTAAAATATGGAGAACGAAGAAAACTCGTACCCATTGTTTTCGTCTTATGTAAACCTCAAATTATGCTCTATTTACTTATTCTTCATGTTGGCTAGTAATCTGTTTTTTACTTTGCGCACACAAATCAAGATAATTTCCGTTTCTTATTTTAACGTATTGGTCTTTAGCCACACAGAGATATTTGTCGATTTCTCTGCTTGCGGGTCAACGTAGCATTCCCGGCTTGACGTTACTGTAAGCGGTTGGTCCGATAGCGGAAGGCTAAAAAATGCTTAAGCCAAGGCACAGTCTATACGCTGTCGCAGTGGTGGCACCACACGTACTGATAACAAAAACTTCGACAATGCCACAAGCACTGTGCCCGTTAGTGAGGGGCCATGCGGCGCAATGGCACATTATTCAGCAGAATATTAAAAATATCTTACCCCACCGCCATGCTGGCTGTCACCCTCAGTCATATTCTACGGGTGAACGTCGTTGTCTATGAACTAGTAGTAATGCGGCCATTGAAGCTATTGTGTCCGCCTCTTGTTACTGGTACCGCCTGTTTCTAGCTGCTTGAGTTGTCATAGCGCCACAATTATTTGTCCTCAGTCATTCTGCTGTAAAAGTGAAGCCACCGCAGTAAGCAGCTTCACTATTTTATGGATGCCTCCAAATGCTGGCTTCTGATTCCACTTTGTCTGGTCCCCTCGTGTCTGTCTGTGCCGGCCATGTTGAGGGCCGCTAGTCGCCAAGCGCCAGAAGACGGACTTGCCTACGCCGCAGTGCAGAAGTGTTGTGTAGCATCTATCTGTTTGTGCTTTCCCGTTGTCTATTTGTCTGTCCAACATTCTCGTAAATGAAGAACAACAGAGAAAACGAAGTCCATTCGACCTGAGCCTAACTGAGTCGATAGCGGGAACGTCAGCTGACGCAGTAGGTTTTCCTACAAGGGGAAATGCACTTGTCTTCCCTAGATTCGACAGTTAATGGCGCCGCTGGTGAAGCTAGCACTGGCAATGGTAGTTGTCGTTCGGCTGGTTGCAACAAACAGACAGACAAATAGGCAGACAGGCAGGCAGGGCTGTAATGGCTGTAGCGGTAAGCGCTATCTTATCGTAACCGGTCACAAAGTTCCTCCCACGAACAACAACGAACCCGGAGACCAGGCACATGAACGCACACGAGGAGAGAGCTGTTCCTCTGTTTCTGGCATCGGCGTCATCGTCCTTTTAGTGCTGCTGCGTGACACAGACGCACAACGCTTTGGGACCTGTTGGGCCAGCCACCCAAAACAACAACAATACCCGCAGAGACAATCAACGACGATACCGGACATCGTACAGCCAATGGGATATTCGCCTGACTGCGTGTCCTGAGAACAACAGCATCATCGAATACCATGCGACGACGACGACTACGCCATTATTGACTTGTTGCTCCTGATAACAATAACAAGCACAACGGGTGATAATATTAAAGGACGTCTAGATAAATTGAGTAGCGCGTCGCCACCACTTTTGCTAAACACAACAAAGTTGACCGCGCGCACAAAACGCGTCGCGCAATAATAGCAATAGGCTAGCCAGCGTTCAAGATGCACACATTTTATGTTTAGTATTATGGTAATCGTTTCGGCAGTAGTGACTATGTCGTGCTTATCAGAGAACAGTAAAAAAATGGCGTATATACGATGCAAATTTTATATCTGCATTGTAATGTGGTAAATTAGCTTTGTTTCTCACATCTCTTTCAACATGTGTGACACGTGATAATGTACACAATGATTCTTGTATCCGTAGCCTATTTGTTGGTATTAGATACGTCTCAAGTGACAGCCAGCGCTCCCCTCTGTCGTGTTCCGTCTCTGCTATAGGGAGAGGCATAAAAAAGGTTTACAGTTGAATAACATATAAGGTTAAGAAAAAGATAAAGATTAACGGTCGAGACTTATAATTTTATTATTTGCTTAATTTAAGATCCGTGTTGTTCATTAATGGCAGGTGCCTCCATCGTAAGTCTACTTAGATATCAGATAACTCATTAGCCTGCCACAGTTATCCTAGATAAAACGGTCAAGACTTGATTTTATCAATTCTTTCTTCCAAGAGTTTCTTGTGTAATGCCAGTGTCGCTACTCGGCCAGGTTGCCACTGCTCAGTCGCTGATAAGTCGTAATTTTCGTCTTCCGTACTCTGTAGACTGTGGCATGTCTATTGCATTTTTGATTAACTTTATTTTCTCTATTGTTCTATGATCAGAATCACAGATTTATCGTGATATATTCTCTCTGGTCAGTTGAACTCAAACTTTTTTCGAAGGTCTTTATATGAAAGACATTTCTCAATAACGTCTTGTAGTCTACCTTGTCGACTCGTTCTGGTGCTGCGTGTCCGACGTATTGGCGCTCCTTCGAGGTCATAGTCGCCTCGCACTCCTCCGTTGCGTTTTCTTCCTGGTCTCAGCCTTAGCGACAGACATCCTGAACGAACGGTGACCAACAGGAGTGTTTAGCGGTCCCAGTTTCTATCTACCCACTCGCTTAAGATGGATCGTGGCCTGTCTCTTAGAGTATGTAGTACTTGCTTCCTCCTTTGAACCATTCGGATCGCGTGAACTGCCCTTATATTGGCTAGGCCTTTTCCTTCGGTCTTTCACGAGTCGCCGTGCTCAGAACGACGATGTATCGACGGCTTCTACTGGGCATTCTTCTCAAGGGGCAAAGACGAAGCAGGAGGAGGGGCACCTGGCCAGTCACTGACTGCCAGCGTCATCAGCAGTCTGAGCGGCCAGCTAACAAAAACCGGCTAAAATTACTTTATAATACTACGCACATTCACTCCAGTAAGTACTACCGCATCGAGCAGCAACAGCAGCATCAAACATCAAAGGGGCATCCAGTGTCGTAGCCAACGATGTATGATCGCCCTCAGAAGACTGGGCTGGCGCTCTCTTTTCGCTAAGGTTCACACACAGGTGCCGTCACTGTCGTTACTACTAGTGAATAGCCTGTACCCCTCACTCGAAAGGTTCTATGCACGCGACCGTAGATACAAGCTGATAGTATTTATGCATATAAATAAATACTACAAATACTTACAATCGAAGATTTCGACTTTTGCGTGGTGATGATGACATTGTCACAAATTCGCTCAATCTGATTGGTGCATAGTATACATTTATGTAAGCGTAACCGGGTCCGTAAAGACACGACTAAACTATAGATATATTACAAACCACCCATACAGGCACCGGCGAACAATTACCAGACAGCAAAAAAAAAGAATGAGAGACGGTGGCCATCTCAACGACGATAATATGCTCACAGTCGGAGGAGCCTCCTCAGAGGCAGAGCTGTGCCCATCTCAACGAAGGACCGGCCGGCCGACTGTCAGTTACATGAAATGCACGTAGCAGCGAAAGCTCTGTTGTGAATTCCGTTGGTGTCGGTGAATGTGTATGTGTGCGTGTGTGTGCGTGTGTGTGCGTGTGTGTGTGTGTGTGTGTGTGTGTGTGTGTGTGTGTGTGTGTGTGTGTGTGTATGTGTCGCATTGTATTCGCGGCTGTTTTCGTTGTTGTTGGGCTGGTAGGGAACGGTGACAGTTGGCTGGATGGCTGGCTCGAGCGACTGCATTCACATTATTGGAGTCACCAACACATTGGAGCGCTCCGGCCTCAAGACGCCGACTTACTATTAAGTGTATATGATACAGCAGAGCTTTATAAGCGTTTGTTAGAGTCGCACAACTAGCCACAGTTGGTCAACCCGTAGAGGAAGCGGTACAAACAGTGGAAATAACAAGCGGAATGTTTCCCAACGGACGAAAACTACCTAATGTTTTAATCACCATTGAAATGGATACACGCTCATGTTTATTGCCGTCCTCATACGGCGAATAAACTGGACGATAAGGCCGAGACATAGCTAGCGATAGAAATTGGCGATAGGAAACGGTCGTGTTCCAACAAACAAGTCGAAAAATAACGAATCTAACAAAAACAGCTTTTTAAAAATAATCTCGTAATAAAATTACTCACTCTAGTTTACTTTCGAACGGGGTACATAATATTTACGAGGTGAAAGTATTTGGTAAATTTAATCTAGTCTAGCTTAGCCCTCTACCCAGTAACAACGCGTATAGGCAAAACAGGGTTGCTGGCCAAACGAAAATCCTGGAAACGGTATACGTCATTTTGACTAAACGGCTATTTGTAATAGTTTAACATTGAAATACGTCAATTTGTCTGTAAATTTCGGAGAAATATGTGACAAGTTTTTAGCGTTGACCACCCAAAATCACTCCTGTAGGTGATGTTTTTTTTTCTCACTTTCTGCTAATCGGCGCTGAATAAAAGCGTGAAGATTTTTTTCAGCATATCATGGGTAGCACGTATAATTATTAAAGAAAAATCATAGGCATATTAAAATAAAAACTACAGATGATTATGTGTAACATGATAAAGCTGTTGTTACGCCGTCAAGTTGCCAAAGTTTTGCAAAGTGGTCAAGAACTAATGGCTCACCCGACGTATAGTATAACACACAGCACTTCGGTCGCATGAGGATTTTCGATTTTAAATCTTCATACCTTCACCTAACGCGGCAACAACGATGCTTCTGTAATTCATAATTGATGATTCATTGCCTTATTATATAATAATAACCAGATTACACAACTCTGACCCACATTGATTTTTTCTACATGGAACAGAGAGTGATAGCTAATGAACAGTCGTTCTAGGAGCTAGTTTACCGTTCATTGACTGCTTACCGATAGTTTTGTTGTAACAAGCCTTAGTGGACCTGCATATTTATTGGCGGGTAAGAACAACGGGAGGCCGACGTTTCGTAAGTACATTTTTTTTATTATTATCATTAACATTATTATAATATGAAATTGGGTAACTTATACGACGTCAAAGTTAGTTGTTGACTTTAATAAAAAATTAACTAAAACAAACCCGTGAAAGTGATTCGCTTTCCTGAATTTCGTGTGTGTTTTTAGCCCGCTAACCGCGCCCTCAGGCTGGCTTCAATATCACGTAACGCTTGCGCAAATCAAAATGCAACAAAAAGTATCTATTGCTTAGGGGAACAATAGGTAATGTTGCGTGATTTATAAGATATCTCACGCCTGGAGTTAACTTCAATAATTAAATAAATGAGCTGAGATAATTACAATGAGGTCGTTAAAGCACGATAGACGTTCACGAAGCGGGGAATGTCCGATATCTGATGCCTGCCTTCTGTTACGTAGCTACTGCTGTTCCGGATGAAA